TTTATGCTTGTTACTGTCTTGTAACGCCTCTAAGCTTCTGGCGCTCATATGACCTTATGCAGTTGCGAGCGCCGTAAAACCTCTACTAAAGAAAACTCCTACAAAAATCCTAACATTTTCAATTCCTCCCCCCAGATGACTTCCGCATGCAGTGCCGCGTGACCAACAAGCCGTACGACGTGTTCGGTGCCTGGTACGACAACGACCACCTGCTCTCTGGCACGCTGTACTGGACAAGCGTGCTCAACTCTGTCTCAGCTGTGTGGCTCAGCAAGGTAAGAGAAGTTTTACACAACACATTGCAGGAGTTCTGAAAACTCCTGTGATCCTATGAGTGTAAAGTAGAAGTTTCTGGGCTGTTCCCCCTCCACGTTCTCCTCTCTCAAATCTCCTGCTTTACTCTCTCAAATCTCCTGCTGTACTCTCTCAAATCTCCTGCTGTACTCTCTCAAATCTCCTGCTGTACTCTCTAAAATCTGATTGGTGAGTGCGACTGGTAGGTCCTGCTTTTATTTTTTTTCCTTCACTGTTTCTGTTTGTCTATTACTCCTTGCATGTGTGTGTGTCTGTATCTGTATGCATGTGTGTGTTTATGTGTATACCTATGAACCTGTTCACAACAATCACTCGTATTCGAGGAGTAAAGTAGTCATTGTACCCCAGTGGTCCTCTTAGATGGTGAAATTATAAATTAGAAAGAAAAGCTAGGGAGGATATGGTCTTTGACTTTGACGCAGGGGATTGCCTTGGACAGGTGATTGTTAGGACAGGTTCAACTTTATTTACATTTCAAGTTGCAAAATCTAGCGAGAGCTCACTATCAAGTTTCTGCCAGCAGACTGGAGGGACATAAATGTTTATGTTGTCTTTTCTTCCAGGCCTTTGCGGTCTGTTGAAGGGCACCACTGGTAGCTTGTACTTCTTTTCTGTCTCTCTGGGGGTTTTTTCTGTCTTATCTTTTTTATTTATTCCCTAAATTTGAATGACCATTGATGCATCAATGTACCGGTACTTCTGTTTTCTCAAACAAACAAGAATTGTGTTGTCTTTTCTCCCAGGCGTCCCAGGAAGTAGAGTCGGAGATGGAGTCTGTAAGCATGATGCTTTACCGCTTCGAAAATGTCAACTCCAGCTCCATACGCCTGCTTCATGTGGCGGAGGTAGGAAGGGCAGGCGCATGGGGGGGGGAGGTGTTTGTGTCGTGCTTTTTGAGGTCAATTGTTTGTTTGATTGCTTTTGTAAACTTCAGGTTTTTAATGTAATATTTGTCTTAGAAACCAAAATTCTGCTCATTTATAACTTTGTGTTTGTGTTTCACCTTGCAAATGCTTGCAGTAAGAAGAAGAGCAGCTGTGAAGACGTTAATTTTTTTCTTATTTGTCGTTAGAAAGAATATTCTATCCTGCTTTTCGAAAATATTAATTCTTACAGAATTGGATAATAGTGCAGAGACTTTGACCTATAAAACCATTTCAATGTGCAGTTTGTTTTTGTTTCTGCTGTGTAGTTTTCGTATCATAATTTCTTTCTTTTCTGTGTTTTCTGTTGGTTTCTTTGCTTGTTGTCTCTGTCTTATTTTATCCCACACCAAAAAGCTGTTCTGTGTACCAAGGGTGTCTGTTTTGAACAAAATGTAAGGGTTATGATGGGTACCTAGAATTAAAAAGATTGTAAATGAAATGCTTACTTAATATACAAAATTTGGACAGATTATAATTGACTGTGTTGTGTTCTTTTGCGTCAGGTCCACAAGGACGAGGAGAATGTTGACCAATCTGGAGACAACGATGGGATGGACCTGAGCTGTGACGGCGGCTCTGTGAAGACTGAGGGCGGTCGGAGGGTGGCTCAGGGCGGAGGTGGAGCTGCTCCTTCCTGTCTGTACAAAGGGTCGGGAGAGGCGAGGTCGTTCCTGGACCGGCTGTTGAGCAAGACGATCGCTGAGGATGAGTTTGACCTGGAGAATGAGGACAAGACGGATGACGAGGAAGAGGTTGGAGTTGACACTGAGAGGGTCGAGGAAAATGTCGAGGAATACCGTGATGTGAAGAGGGTGGAGCAGGGAGTAAGGAGAGGTGTTTTTGGTGAGCTGACAGGTCCTCAGGCCTCTAGAGTCATCACAGGTGGTGATGATAAGGCCAGAGCTGTGGGTCGTGAGGAGATACTAGGACAGAACATGGACTGTGACGTGTCGTCGAGTCGTCTACTTAAGCGGAAAGATGGAGATTTGCCAGCTCACTGTAATCAGCTGTATTACCCAGAGAGTGCTGGTGTTACGAAGTCTGTGTTTGAGTCTCTGAACAGCGGGGCTGCAGCCAATACAGCCAGTTCTCCCGCATCTGTTTCTTGTGATAATCAACAAGCTGAGTGGCCGTCAACCTCCCAGTCTGTCTCGTCTGCTCAAAGTGATAATAATTTTCCATCTTCTACCGTACGGCATTACTCGTGTGATGGACCTGCTCAAGTGTTTCAACAACAACAACGTGGTGTGAACAACGACTGTTCTAGCGTATGTGAAAGTGCGCAGAGAAGAACTAGATCTTCTTCGCTTTTTGATGAACAGATGGAAGTGTGCGTGGAGGATTCCGATCATGAGAGCTCTTTCTCAGCCGGTGCGACTAACGATACGGTCAGCACGCAGTCTAATATGGCAGGTGAGACTCAGCGTTTAAGAGAACAGGCGGATTTCTGTGATAGGAAATGTGAGGCTAGTAGTTTCTCTGACAGGGACCGCGTGACTCAATTTTCGGATGATGTAAATGGAACAAACTCCTTTGCTACCCCTTCACATCCCATTTTCCAAGTCCCTAACTCAGTGCCTTACTCGGGTGGTCATCCCCACCACACAGCCGCGGTTTCCTCTGACCTTGAGAACCTGGATGAAATCAACAACAACAACAGCGGCTCCGCAGACATGAACGCTCACAGTTGCCAGGTGAGAGCCGAGGCGGTGTCGAGAGCGATATACAGAACAAACTGTGGACCAAACGCAGCAGCGTCATCATCGTCTTCTACCACCGCAGCATGTGGTGTGGCCAGTGGCAGTGCCAGCGTGACACTACTACCCGGAGCTGTTTCGAGTTCGAATCCCGTGGACGCCCAGGGGGTGAACAGCGTGGCAACTCAGACTGCCCCGCCGGCCCGTCGCGCCAGGTCCCCACGCTCCCACGCCCACGCTGGCCCCAGCTCCTCCCTGTCTAGAGAGCTGGCGCGAGCTCCGAGGGAAAAGCTGCTCATCTACACTTGGGGCTCGGAGACCTACATCCCTCACAAGATCGGCATCAAGAGAATGCTGTGGTCGGACTTTAACAAAGTGAGTTGTCCCATGTGGAATTTGACTTTTTTGTCCTTACTTTTAACCTGTTTTGTTTTCTTCCCTCTAGTTTTGTGAGTCTTAAGCCTCTTTCTTTAAGTTAAAGTCTAAATCAATGATGTAGGGCACAAAGGGGTGCACTATATACTAAACAAAAGCTGAATGGTACTTGATAGGAGCAAGTGTTTTGGAGGTTTCCCTGTGTCTGTCTTTCTTATTTTTCCCTCTCTCACTTAATGATTATTACAGTGTCAATAGCCTCCAATTTACTCAAATGAGCAAACTTCATTTTTCCTGAATCGCATTGCTGTGGTATAGCACTAAAGACAACCTGTGAGCGAACAAGTACTGAATAAAGCTTTCAGGTTGAAGGGTTTCTCCTGAAACGCATTCCAAACCACTTTCTACAGTGCGAAAAAACCTCTTTACACGAAATTCCCTTTTGGCTCTGTCCTTTCGGAGACTGACGTTAAACTCGGAGGTCCCGCCTCTCAAATAACCTAACAGTGTTGATAGAGGCGTTAAACCCATATACCATTTCACAACTTTTCAACACCAAAAACAAAAGACTTTGTAAAGAAAAAAAAAGCACAAAACAAAAAAACAAAACTGACCGTGTCTTATTTTGTCGGACAGGGAGAGGTGACCGCCCGGAGCTCGTCCATGCTGCTGCCGGATGTCATGGAGAACCTCCACAACTCTGCCGGCGATCGGCGGGACAAACCAGACGTCACGATCGAGATGCACGGACACATCGTGGGACTCAGTCTGTCTCCAGACCAGAGGTCAGTGTGTTCTCATATGTGTTAAGACTTTGTGAGAGGGGATTGTGTGTGTGTGTGTGTGTGTGTGTGTGTGTGTGTGTGTGTGTGTGTGTGTGTGTGTGTGTGTGTGTTACTCATATTCATATGTTCAGATTTTGTGAGAGGGGATTTTGTGTATGTGAGTGTGTGTGTGTGTGTGTGAGAGAGATAGAGAGAGAGATGGTCACTGTTTTCTCAATATAGCTACATTCATAATGCTTTGCCAAAGTCTTACCGTCTTTTTTAACAGGGGGGAGAGAGAGAGAGAGAGAGAGAGAGAGAGAGAGAGAGAGAGGGTGGGGGGGGGGGGGGAGGGGGGGGGGGGGGGGGGGGAGATGTAGTATGAGATAGAAGGCCCCCACATTTGCAGAAAAGAATGAGAATGCCTTCCAGTCGCTCCAGTGTACCCTGTGATTACCTTTGTGGGCTTTCAGTATGGAAGCTTTCTGTAAGGATTTACTTGAGCAGTATAACACAATTGCTTAAGTCGCTGGTCTCTCCTTCTCCTCCCTCGTTCTCCTTGATGAGGTGGTTACGGAAAGAAAATTGTCTAGGCTTCTTTCAAAAGAATTTGAAATTCAAGTTTAAAAGAAAAAAGATTTGATGGCGTTGTTTGATGCAATTAGTTTCCATGCATCAACAATCCACTTGGCTTTTTGGGTCTAACGTAGCTGCCCGCTGTCTCGGGTCATCCGTATTTTGTTCGGATTTTCTTGAAAAATCGCTGTTGTCCCGGAAAAACGGCTTTTGACTGACGGTCCCGGAAAATAAAAACTTGGCAAGCATACTTCTAAAACAGAAAAATTAGCCTTCTTTTGGTCAAGAAAATGACGAAAATTCGGGTGATTCCTGAAAAATTTGGGAGAGTTGGCAGGTGTGCAGTTTTGACAAAGTCAGCTGATACGCATGCGCGGCGCTCGGCTTCTTCATTCGTTTGAAAAGATGGCGTCAAAACGTTCGGTGATGAGTTGTTAGTCCGACTCTGGACCAAGTAAAGCAAAGAAACCGAAAAGGCAGCAAGTTTTTCTTGACAAATACAAGGTGTCCCTGATAATTAGTCAATGTCCCTGATTTTGAACAAGGCTGTCCCTGATAGCCACAGAGAGGGGTGGGCAGCTATGGTCTAATTTTTTATTAAATAAATAAGACGCAGGGCAACTTTGAAACTCTAATTTTTATAGGTAAAAAGTTCCACGCTGTAAATGATAATACTGGTTACATTTATCGTTTCATTTTTGTCATTTTGAATTTCAGGTTTCTGTACGTGAACTGCCGACCGTGGCCCAAAAATTACATCATCTCAGACCCTCAGGAGTCGCCGCCCTTGGCGCAGGAAGTTGAGATCTCCTCCATCGACCTCACGACCTTTGAGTTTGTCGGGCCGGTGTTGAGGTCCCACCGAGCGTACACACACAGCGATGAGTGCTTCTTCCTGAATCTTGACGTCTCGGACGACTTTGTTGTGAGGTACGTTCTCCGAGAGACATTTTGTTTGATTTTGTAAGTGTTTTACGGCACTCACAACTGCATAAGGTCATATCAACGCACAGGACACATTAAACTTTTTCAGTTTGTAGGAAATTTTGAATTTTGCACAGGTGGCTGCCGAAGCCTACTCTTATCGATTTTAGACCACCAAGGGATCTTTAACGCGCGCAACTTTCACATGGGACCTCTGAGATTTTTCCCCCTTGTCCGAGAAGGCTAGGCTTTCCTAACAGAAGATCAGGGGTGTGGCTGAAAGACAGCAGTAAGTAGGAAACAAGGAGAAACAGTACAAAGGGTGCAGAAAGAGTCGGGCGCTCAGAGGAGGGGGCAAAGGAGGTGAGGGATGGGGGCAGAAAGTGAAGACAAAAGCAGACAACAGAAAATTGCAAGAGAGCAGGAAAGGTGAAAGGAGACAGTTTTAGAGGAGAAGATTTTTCCGTCACTACCCGGATTCGAACCCTGAAACTTTGAATGAGAGGTGAACACCTTAAGTGGGTGGTTGGCGGGTGCTCTGGTGTGGCTTGCTCCTTCTTTCCTATCAAACATCTATCGTTCTTATCTCCCCTCCTTCTTTTTTATGTTTGTTTCTCTCTTGTATCACCTCTAATCTTCTGGCGCTCATATGGCCTTATGCAGTTGCGAGCGCCAAAATACCTCTACTAAAACTCTTGTGAACACCTTAACCTCTAGGCCACGAGAGACTTTGAAGAACAGGTGAAAGTAATAATAATAATAATAATAGATAGCATTTGTATAGCGCATATCCCCGCTCAACGGCAGGCTCTATGCGCTGTACACTATATTATTACCCCAGCAGACCATAGAACACTCCGAAACATTCTCAGCTTCCCGGGAAGCATACAGTG